CGCCCGGGCAGCGCCCTGCGCGGCGCACAGGTCCCTACCTTCGTTCTCTGCCTCGGCGCCCGCAGCGCTGAAGGACCGCCACCGCTCCTTGGCCCGGGCAAGGCAGATGTCGAAGAGCTCTGGAAGAGAAGCCTCAGGTGAGACTCACGCACCCACGCTTTGCTGAACAACACCCGGGAACACGGGGGCCTCCTTCGACTGTAACCGGTGTCCCACGCTCCTAACAGCATGCTGAGCAGCGACCCCAGCCTGAAAGTACTTGTTCGGTTCAAAGACACAGCGGTCTGCAGAGGAAGACCTCGCACACTGCTGCCGCACACCCGCCACCCAGGGCCCCTCTCGCACGCAGTCAGCGGCGGCCTGCTGCCTCTCCAGCCTCAGCCGCGGCACCCACTGCAAACGCACCAGGAGGGACGTGGCCATTAGGTCCGTGAGCAGAGGCGGTGGGAAGCCCATCTGGTTTCAAACAAGTATGGCCAGAATCTCAAAAGACACAGCCAGAATCCTGAATGCTGAAATCCCCAAAGACCAAAATCCCTAATGTCTGAAATCCTGAAAAGGAGAATTTAAAAAATTCTTTAACGCGTTCCCCATTTTGGAACACTGTCCCTCGCTGCGCTGTGCCAGCAGGGCCTCGGAGCTCGTGGCAGTGAGACAGGAGAATTACAGCCTCATCGTGAATGTGTGAGACATTTATGCACCTTTTTCAAAAAGATTTATTTCAGAAACATGGAAAAACTGAGAACATGTCACAGGTCACTTCACACAAGAAAACAGGCAGTAACAGATTTCTAGGAGCACAAGCATTCAGGGATATCAGTCAGACAGCATAAGTAAAGTCTTGACCAGAAGAGCTCTAACTCGTAAGGAGCTAGGCTGAGAAGTGAAGGCACAGAGGTGTATCCCTGCGGATGCCAGCTGCATGGATCCAGCTTTGCAACTGTTCAGGGAACACCGTCAGACAACTTCACACTTCATCTATTTATTTTGCAGAACTAGGGACCAAATCTGGGGGACTCAACAACTGAGCTACACCCTCAGCCCCTTCTATTTATTTTGAGTCAGGAACGTGCTAAGTTGTCTGGGCTGCCATCAAACTTCCTGTCATCCTGTCTCAGCCTCCCAAGCAGCTGGGATTACAAGTGTGTGTCCCCACACCAGCTCCACCCGGCACATTTGACAAGATGGACAGAAACCGAGATGAATCACCACTCCATATGCAGACACCTGAAGGAGCCAAGCTCTCAAGAAATTTCATCTTCTCCAAGTGCAGATGTACAGAAAGGACACCTCTTCGTTCACTGAGGAAGTTCCAAAGTTCCTACTACACATGGAGAGCTACACACAGGGTCAGCACTGTAAACATGCACTTGCATGGGGTGAAAATTGCAAAAAGTACATAACATAAATTGGAACTCTCTGAAAGTATTTATATAATTTATGCCTTCAGTGTTGGAAATGCGAAGATAAGATACATGGCACAGTAAATTGCAAAAAATTAATGCTGACAATTTTTTAAAAGGAAAAGACTTAAAAAATGGTAAAAACTAAAAAGAAAATTCATGAAGCACGTACAAGAGGCAGACTGCAGGCAACTGCACAGAGGTTGTCGCTGAGAGGCAGCCGAATTTCAGGGTCATTAACTAGAACTGGAGTCTTACAGGATGATGACCAGTCGCCTTCTTTAGGGCATGGCTGTCCCGGGAGAATGTTCACATTCATTTTCCATCCGTCTCTGCCTTTCTGTAAATTATTCTATAATTTTATATACACTGACACGAGTATTTCCTACTACACTCCCCATCCTTCCACGCCAGGCGCTCCAGTACAGACCACGAAGATGGTAGCAGGAGTCCGGTGGTGGAACAGCAAGTCTACCGCAGGCCCTGGGAGCCGAATGCGCACACAATTACCCACAAACCGGGCAGTAGCTTGCTGGCTCCTTCTGGCAAATGTGGTCAACTCCCTCCCTGGAATTCAGTCTGTTCACCTCTTACCCAGCCTTTTCCTCGCGGGACTTGTGGTTTTCAGAATTTCCATTTTCGAGATTCCAACGTTAGGAGTACTGATCTCCCAGGACCATGATTTCCAGGGTTAGGGTGGGCGTTTCAGAGGAGGACACGAGGAACTGCTGCGGCCTGGTTCAGGGCCCTGTGTCCTGCCGCAGGAAGCGGAGCAGAGTAGGGAGAGGCGCCCAGGACGGTAGAGCTGTCCAACAACAGCCAAGTGCGGCAACATCTCCAAATCTCCTCCACACCAGCACCTGCTCAACTGCTCCTGTGGTGGCTGCGTCACACTCCGCTAACGCCTCCTGCTCACACATCTCACATGCACACAGCCTGCCCTGCCAGGCACAGGCTCCTTCAGAGGACGCTCCTCAGGGCCCCTCCCAACCCATCCAGGTACTTCCTGTCCTCTGGCGGGTGTCTGGGATCACAGTCATCTCTGAGGATTTAACTGAAGATACCCACACAGATTTTACCCTTTATACTTCCCATCATTACTTCTGAAAAAAAAAAGCAGAGCACACCTGCCTTCTGGGCAGTGCAAGCTGTTTTATTAAAGCGTAATTCAAACTCCAGTCCAACATCTTGGATCGTGACCTTGCCAGGGGCTTGTGAAGGCTCTGACTCACGATCAAGGCCAGTCTGCCATAGCAGCAGGGCACAGCTCCGAAACACAATCTCATACACCAAGGCTCCAGAGGGTAAGTGCTTACAGGGAGCTATCCTGAGCCACAGCTAGAACTTCTGCCTACTCTCAACTTCCAGGAGGCGCTCAACACTTGTATCCCTCTGGAGGAGACAGAGAGACAGACAGACAGAGACAGACACACACACACACACACACACACACACACACACACACATGGGGCCTGGCAGCCTCAGTAAAATGGGTCAAAGGGACAGAGTTTACAAAATCTCCCACGGTTTTACCGGTGTGCGCTGAGCATGTGGGTATTAAATCCACTTCTCACAAGGCAGCAACGGTAAATATACACTCACTGAATACCAGTGCACCCAACTTTATAAATCAGATACTACGGGACAGAGAAGATCCGATAACCATCAACACAATCCTAGTGAGGGGCTTTAGTACCCCCACTGACAAATCCAGCCGGGCATGGTAATCCCAGGATGGTTCAGCCCATGCCTATAATCCCAGCACTCAGGAGGCTGAGGCAGGAGGATCACCGTGTGTTCAAGGCCAGCCTGGACTACATGGCAAGTTCAAGGCCAAGAGGAACTACACAGTGAGACGCTGTCTCTAAAAACAAAAACACACAAATAATCAACAAGGAAATTTCAGAGCTGAACCACATCTTTAAACAGATCTAATAGATACCTACAGGCTATTCCACCCTACTACAACAGGATGCACCTTCTTCTGAGTAGCACACGGAACTTCCTCCGAAAGAGGCCACAAATTAGTCCATAAAGCCTGCTTAAACAAATACAAAAGAATCAAAATTACCTCATGCATACTCTCAGATCACACAACATGGAGATTAAAAATGAGTGGCAAAAGAACCCACAGAAATGTCACAGACCTAGACACTGAAAACACATTCCTGACTGCTTGATCAGTCACAGAGGACATTAAACAATCCCTAGAATCAAACAGCAACGCTGGTACCACGTACCCCTGGGACCCAGTGGAAGCTGTCCTAAGAGGGGCATTCAGTGCGGTGATGCTCACGTCAGAAAGACAGCAAGCACAAATAAGTAACCCTAAGGCCCCAGAGAAACTATTCCTGCACATCAGCGAATCCAGAGGAAGCGGACAGACTCCCAGGCAGAACAGCAAGCAGGAAAGCATCTTGCAAATGAAAGGGGCTCAAGAGACAGGAGGGGAGTGGGAGGAGAATAAAAAGAATCAAGGTGTGCTAAGTATATGTACTTGCTCCCCAGGACAAATGTAAATATTAAATACTGCAAACACAATCATGGTAGCAATAAACAAAATGCTCAGGACTTTTAAATGTTAAAGAAAAAAAGGAAACCACTTTCTCAGGCCTTCAGCCCCAATGTCAAAAGCACAAGCCTGACTTGTCTAACAGCCAAGTTTTAAAGGCCGTTTGATTGGCTTTCGTAAGTTTTCCAAATGCACAACCACAAAAAGCAAAACCCTAGGTGAGGAAGCCAGCTCCATACACACGGGCCACAGGCCTGGCACAGCCCCAGCCTCTTCAGGATGTGGAAAGGAGGTCGCCAAGGCCTGCCGGGCAACAATGCCTGGCTGCAGGCAATCGGAGCGCAAGCTGCCCGTTCTGCCGCTGGCTCAGAGGGTGGCACAGCACAGACGAAGTGACGGATGATGGTAAGACGCACCTGCTCGCTCAACAAGCATTTCTGGAGGGCCTGCCGAGCACAGAGAACTGGGCTGGGCATGGGTGTCGGAGCAGATAGTATCCAACCTGGCTATGGCACCCTGAGGACAAGCGACGCAAAGGAGCTGATCGTACAAGACACAGTTCATACTGTGCGAGGCAAGATCGAGGTTCAGACAAAAGTCCAAGACATAGGTTTGGTTAATCAGCTGCTTCCCCAATCTACCACGATCCAGTCCACAGACGGGTTTTTTTTCTTCTTTTGAGACAGGGTCTCACTGTGTAGTTGAGACTGATCTGGAACTCACTACATAGCCCAGGGCTGGTCTCAAACTCACAGTGATCCTCCTGCCTCAGCCTCCCGAGTGCTGGGATTACAGGCATGCTCCACACAGATTTTAATTCAAATAAAATCAACCCAGGCATCAGTGAGAACTGAAAGTTGAATACCCGCAGACACACAAGGCCCTGCCCAATTTGCTCAGACAAGGGAGCGCCTTCTCCAACTTCACCTTCTGAGGCTGCTTCTCAACAACTACTTCACTTCCACAAGAGAAACGTTCATGCGTTTTCTCAGAGGTATGGATCTGGCCACACAAGAGCTGTCCAGAGGTCCCCTACCCCAACCTCCCCACTTCAGGAAGCCAGTCACCCTCCACGGACTAGCTATGTGGACCAAGGCTGCAATCAGGGGAGAGCCATGGTCACGAGAGGGAAGGCACAGACCAGTCTGCTGTACACGCACAGGCCACACAGGCAGGCGTGGGCCTCTCAGGAAGGGAGCGGAAAGCCAGCACCCCTCTGCAGCAGCAAGGAAGGAAAGGAGACGAGACCACAGCTGTGGCCTAGGCTTCATGCCCTGTCTGTGGATCCTGGTGCCCATTTCCCCTACGTGCACATCACCCTACAGGTGCGCGGGATACCAGGGAAATGCACCAGGGCCAGCGGGGCAATTGCACACTGATCAGAGGGGACACAGTGACAAGCCGCGTGAGGACAGTGAGGCCGGTCTCAAGCCCTCAACACTTGGGCCACCAAGACCCACAAGGCCAGGCCGAGCAGTGTGCTGCTGCCCTGCTAAGGCTGCCGGAAAACTTCCTGGAAGGCACCCCAAGGGGCAGAAGCACAGCCACCTTTGCATCTGCCGAGACCGGCTTCCTGGGACTTGGCATCTCACCTGAGGCTCTTAGGGCCATGTCCACTGTCCCCTCCACCTGCAGCAGGTGCCCTATGTGCCTGGCAAGGAACCCACCGCCTGCGGCCCCTCTCTGGGGTTCACAGGCACCTGGCCTCTTGAAGACAGGGCTGCACGGCAGACACTGCCGTCCTTCACAGCAGGCAGCAGGACAGAGGGCCCCCGGCCCAGGCTAGAGCCACTCACCGTGGGTGATGTTCAGCTCGTTGCCGATAGCTAAACTCCAGACTCGGCCTCTCACGCTGGGCGGGATCCCCTGCCACCACAGGTCACGCACCTTACGCGAGCACCACCTGGACAGGACGGAGACGAGCTCAGGGGCTCACCAGGGCAGTGGTGCCCACCCTGACTTGGCGAAGTGAGCCACCAGGACCTACGCAGAGCACCAGCCTCCTGGCCTGTGGGGACAGGCACAGAAGGGAACACGGGAGCCAGGCAGCAGGGACAGCCAGCAGCCCACTGCACACGGGGGAGCTGCCACACCACAGGGCAGGGGACAAGCCCAGACACTCCAGAGGGGCAGCTGTCAGGACCGTGGACCAGGGAAAGGCGGCAGGCCGCCGTGGTGCTTCTGGACACAGCAGGCTGAGGCAGCAGTGCCAAGCAGTGGCCCACTCCACCCTCGCCTGGGGGACTACTGCTCCTCCCCGGCCTGCGGCATCCTCTAACCCAGACCAGGGAGCCTTCTCCAGGGCTGCACCGAACACCGAGGGCAGTGAGGTCCAGAGCAGCAGGTCGTGCTCAGCACAGCGTGGCCAGGCTGCAGACACCTGTCACTGTTTCCTGGCAGCGCCCAGCCTCCACAGGATGACACCGGGGAAGCAGGGGCGCACAGCACCTGCCCTGCGCAGCCCTCCTGGGCCCCGGGCCCTGCAGGGAGCAATGCACAGCAGGCACAGTCAGGAGACCCAGCACCGCCACACGCACCAAAGACAGGCAGGTGGACGCTGACCCTTGGAAGGGAGCGTGCCGCAGGTGCCAGGCTCCCTGGTCACCTGGGTCACTGACACTGGGGCTCACTGGCACTGGAGTTGGCAGCAGGGTGCCAGGGGGGTCCTCCACAGCCACCTGGAGCTGGGGTGGGGCAGGAAAGTCCTCCTTGGGGAGCACAGCTTTGGTGAACAGGATGGGCGTTCAGGTCAAGGGCACCCCAGACCCAGGAAACAACATACAAAGGCCCTCAGGTTGAAAGCGCCAATCCTGCTGATGGTTCCCTGGGGACAAGGCTGGGCCCAGGTAGAGAAGAGAGTAGGGTGAGGCTTCAGAGGCGGGGTGGGAGGGTTCAGGCCCTAAACTCTGAAGTCCAAGGTCTGTATTGAGTGAAATCTCGGGGAGTGACGAAGAGGGTCAGGCTGCCAAGCACAAGACGAACCAAAGGGCGGGCAAGGGGCTGTCTCGGCACCCCTGCTGGACCAAGGCAACTTACAGACTTACAGCAGCCCCATGCCACGCCTCCCTGTGAGCCCCAGACCTGGGGAGGGGCGGCCCGAGAGCCCAGCCTTACATGGTGTCCCAGTTGGGCAGGATCTCGTTGTTCCAGGTGAGGACAGCGTTTCCGATGCTTTCTTCCACTCTGCACCTCTCCTCCAGCTGCTTCTTCCTCCGCTGGGCCTCTCTGAGCTCTGGAAGCCACAATTACAAACAAGAAGGAGCACCGTGTCAGCCGACACCCACCATCGCATGGCCACACTGCAGCAGCAGCAGGGAAACAGCGCTGCAGCAGGCCAGCACCAGCCCGGTCTCGTGCTCAACACACCTGGCAACAAACTTTTCAAGGGCAGCACGGATGGGGGGAAGTGTACAGGGGCAAACACAGCCATGCACAGACACACGGACAGACCACACCACACCACACATGGGCAGATGGGAGAGCCCTTCGTGTGCTCCTGGCACTCTCCACAGGGGACCTGCAGGCCCACTCCTAACAGCCCAGGCACTGCTCTCAATGGGGAGGCAGCGATCCGAGGAAGCCCCGGCTTTGCACCCTCTCCACACCGAGCTCTGCATCCATGGACTCCGCAGACACACATCCAACCAAACAGCGATGGAAACACTCGGAAACATCACATCTGCACCCAACAGATATTTTCATGTCACTATTCCTAAACTATACAATGCATCCACCATTCACACAGTATTTACATCTGACTAGATGATCTAGTGGTGACTTAAAGTATACCCAAGAGGCGGACGTGGTGACACACACCTGCAGCCCTGGCACTCAGGAGGCTGAGGCAGGAGAATCACTTTGAAGTCAAGGGCAGCCTGGGCTACACAGCGAGACCGTGTCTCGAATACCCCTCAGCATAAAGTGCAGTGCACAGGTGAATGTGTGTAGTCATATACAAATTTTACCTGACTTGGACATCCATGGTTTCGGTACAACAGGGCCCCTGGAACCAATCCCCATGGACACTCATAGACTGCACTTTTTTATTGCAGCAAAATGCACCTCACATCAAATTTCACCATGAGAGCCATTTCGCTACCAGTTCAGTTGCGTTAAGTACATGTGTGGCCCTCACCACATCCGTCCCTACACCTTTCTCATCCTCCCCAGCTGAAACTCTGTCCCATCTGACACTAGCTCCCGGCCCACCCCCGGCCCCGGCCCCCACTGCTCTACTTCGTCTCTACAAAGGTGGTGGCTCTGGGGACCCCAAAGTCTCCGTCCTTCTGGGACTGCAAGTGACACCTAGGATGGCCTGCAGGCCCAGCCAGGCCGGGCACAGACCAGAACCTCCTCCTTTCTGGAGGACACAGAATCCCACTCTACCCACACACCGGTTTATCATTGATATGTTTGAATGTCCAAGAACCACAGGGGTTTTAGGTACTGCGAGGGATTGTGTCTAGTGCACCTTTTTGTAAAAACAGAAAAGAGCCCAGTGAGGAAGAGAAATTCCCATGCCATGGCTGAGGCTTGCTCTACTACAGGATTCTCTCCCAGGATGGCCTCTTTTCTCATGGAAGTTTAAAGGGCTTCTACCTTGAAATAAGTTACCAGGATGAACAGAACCATGTACTTTTGATGGCAAGTTACAAATCTGAGAACTTTTAAAGCTTCTGAGGAAGCTGAGGTTCTAGGGTTCCCAAAGATAAAAAAGGAAACCGTGGGAGATGCAGCCCAGCGTCCGGTGCCCAGCACACCCACCTCGCTTCTTGGCCTGCACCACCATCTCCTCATACTGCTGCCTGTGCTTCTGGGCTTCATCAGCTGGCTTCGCAGGGAGATTGCTTGATGGGAGATAAAGGGATTTCGCAGTTACAGACATCAAGAGTGAGAGAGAATACACCTGCAGTATCGGTTACAAAATACTGTACAGCTTGGGGTCAAAACTAATTTTTAAAGAATTACACAGTTCTTTTAGAATCTACAATTCATTTATTTTATTTATTTATTTTTTTGAGACAGGGTCTCACTATGTAGTGGAGACTGACCTGGAGCTCACTATGTAGCCCAGGCTGGTCCCGTACTCACAGTTAATCCTCCTGCCTCAGCCTCACAAGTGCTGGGATTACAGGCATGCGCCACCATGCCCAGCTTACAATATCTTTTGATAAAAGCAAAAATCTAACTGTCAAACAACTCAATTCTACAGGTTAAAAAAAAACAATCAATTACCCATAATTACAACAGAGAAAAACCTTAGTGTTGTCTCCTTTTTCCATAGAAACTGACTGGACCACGAGGCCATGTTCATCTTCCACCTCAACCCTGGGGGCAGCCTTTCCCACAGATGCAGCAACACCAAATCCCTGCTGCCGGTATGGGCCCTCACGGCAAGTATACCTTACCCAGGTGCACAAGTGCGTTCTCTTTTTTATTTTTTTTTGCTACCTGGTAAGGAACTTGGAACCTTGTGCTTGTGAGGCAGGCAACAGAACCACTGAGCTAAATCCCCAGCCCTACATTCTCTTGCCATGTTTTTTAAGTGTGAAGTGCCATTAGCAGCCCTACTTCTCTTTCTATTGTTAAGGCACACGTGTCACAGTCCTACTCCTCTTGAAAATGACAAAATGCATGCTTTCTCACATCGTCTGCCCTGCCAGCACCAGGAGAATGGGGTGACGTCTCAAAGCACTAGAAAGGACGCTCCTCACAGTCAGCGGCCTCTGCCTAACTCTGTGGGCCTCCACTTCAGGGTCCCCCACAGCTGGCTTCTGAAAGCCAAGAAATAATAGCAAAAGACACTCTTCTTTGAGATTTCTCTCGTTGTCAACATTCAGGGATTGGCGCGGGCCTTGAGAGTTATATCGATGTTTCCCTCTCGCTCTTCTTCGATCCCTTTTGAGCTTGGGAACCCCTATTCTAGTACCACGTTCTAGAGAAACAATTCTTATAGGTAGGGCAGTGGCATCCTGGCACAAGGGAGCAATTCCCGGTAACTACGAAGATCTCCCAACAGGACTTCTCCATCACACTCGGGGAGTCAAAGGCCAGAGAGGGTGCTGCGTGGGTGACCTCACCCCGCTGGCTGCGATCACAAGGGCCCTGGGCCAGCCCACAGGCCCTGCAGTATCCTGCACCTCCAAAGCGAGACGCCGGCATATACTGCCCAGGGTCTCTTGCTGCTACAAGCCAGCTGCATTTACTACTCAGGTATTCCTAAATGCTAAAGGGGAAACCGCCTGAACAGGAAACCTGTGACACGGCTATGGCAGGACCATCCTCCCAGTCAGCCGTGTGACATCATGACACAACGCATGGGGACACAGGCCTGACAAGTGCTTATGGCCACCCCTCCTCCTCCCGCGAAGGGGATCAGCAAGCTGTCCCCCTCCACTAAGGCAGACACCACAGGCCGCTCTAAGACTCACGCTGGTCTGTCCTCGAGGATGAGGGCGGTGGTGGAAAGAGGCTCAAAATCAAGATTCCTCCTCACATTCTGCTTCGGCGAAGGTGGCCGGCTAGGTCTTCCAGCCTTGTCTTCATTTTCCTAGGACAAAGCAGCCAAGGGTGACTCTGGGTCCAGACATTCCTTGTACCACAAAGTCCTGGCAAAAGTAAGACAGTTACTGTGCAACGAGAGAACTCTAGGTCAACTCTGAGGGTGACACCGAACATCCCCACAACCCCGAAGGGACGCCGCCTCTGAAAGCCCCTCCCCCAGCTCCGCCGCGAGGCGGGCATAGTTCCCCTGTTGGCATGCGTCACTAAGGATCCCCAAACTCAGACTCGGGCCTCCTGTTCTTCTCCCAGTGAGAACCGTGTTTCTTCAGGACACTGTAAAGCACTCTCTCCAGCACTGAGGAGCGGGCCCCGGGGCGCTCTACCACTGAGCTACATCCTGAACCCCCATTATTTTTATTTGGAGACAGGACTAAGCTGCCCAGGCTGGCCTCGAACTTCTGATCCTCCTGCTTCAGTCTCCTGAGCAGCTGAGATTACAGGTGTGCACCACCAAGCCAACTGCACACTATACGTCTTGACTAATTACTGTCATGGCCACTGGGATGCCATCGCCACAGATTGTGCTGTAAATAATTTTACAAGGCCCTAGAAGTGTAAGAGCAGCCTCCATACTCGGTGAGTCCCCAACCTGCTGCGCGGGCTGTGACCACAAGAGCTGAGTCACACCTGCTGACCCACAGGGCAGACGCCCAGCCAGGGCTTCAGGGCCCTGGAAGCCGGGGCTGCTGAAGTAAGGCCTGCAGGTGCGTGCACCCTTGGCTCCCTGAAAAGCAGAGATGCGGTGTTTTCCTGTTGTGCCCACTACAGACAGGCTCTTGGACCACCCCTGAAGAGGAGCCGGGAGTCCCACAAACAAATGCACAGCTAACCTGTGATTCCAGTGCCTGCTCCGATAGCAAGATGAGCGCCGGCAGGAGCCGTGGTAGCTAATTGCTAAGTGGATTTCACCAACGTTAGCTGTCGAGAGGGGCACCACTCCCAACACCATCTTGCAAGCAATTACTCTCACAGTTGGAAAGGATGACTGAAGCTCCCAGAACTGAACAGGTAGAAAACTAATTCCTCAAAATAGCAAGGCTGGGAGAAACGGGTGCAGGGCAGTTTCTGCACATTTGGACGCACCAGGTTAGACACGGAACTCTGGCCCACTGAACTACTGAGTCACCCAGAAAGCAGCCGCACCCGCTCACGGACCTGAGTATCTGAGGCTGCCCACCAGCGACAGCAGGTGCCAGCCACAGAAAGCTTCCAGTCCAGTACCCGGAAGCTAAAGTCTGCAGTTATAGAAAATCTGTTGAAAGCTGTGTGCTAAGAAAGATTCTGGGGCCTGCTGCATGCTGACAACAATCAGCCACAAATCCCCTTGAGGTGCTGCTTATCCACCAATCCTGGACTAGTGAACTGCAGGCCGAAGCAAAGACCTGAGGCCCAAAGCCAGCTGCCCCCGCCACACTGTGTCCCACATGTCCTCCACTGCAGACCGACCCTACCGTATGAACCACTGGCCCCAACCAGGAGCAGAGCGGAGGAGCAAGCCCAGTCTTGCTCCGTCAGGTGCCAGTGCGGGCCCCAGACAGGTCTGGGGCAAACTTGGTTCCTCCCACGGCTGTGACTCAGGCCCCAGGCTCACCTGGCACTCCCAGCCCCGTGTCCACCTCTGAGAAGTGGACACGTGTACCCCCACACAGGCTGCTGTGACCACGGGGGGGAGAGGTGCCGGCGACAGCTCTGGGACACGGGGACCAGATGTATGTGCCATTACTTCCCTTCACCCCTGAAACAGCCACACCAGGGAAGAAATGGGCTCTGCAGTCCTTGGTGGGTGGGGGCACAGGGAGGGAACCCCTTGGTCCTGGACGGAAAGCACTGCCTGTTATTCCCAGGGACAGCAAGCAGGGTGTCTGCCTAGGCTGAGGGGCTGCGCACATCCCCAGGGTCTCACACTCAATTAACATAACCTACACACTCGCCCTGGTTCTCACCACAGAATCCATGCAGGCCCCTCGCAGACAGGGTCGGCCCAGGAAAGCGCTCCAGCTAGGCAAACCTGAGCCCTGAGTCGAGCGCAGAGGTAGGGACGGTACAGGGTCAATCGCTCCGTTCCACACAGTGACGCACGATTACAGTAACAGGGGAGTCCTGGCCTGCCCAAACCTGACCTGGCAAGTGCAGCTGCCTTTCCAAAGCCCTGAGTGGCAACTTTAGAGCTCAAATATGCTGGCAATGGCCACGCGACCACGCTCCAAACCCGGGCTTGCTTTTCCCATGGCCTCTTAGAGGCCTCCACAGTCAGATCTCGCTCTCCAAGCCAGAAAAACCAACCCAGGAGCACAAACTCTGTTCCTCTCAGGACCGCAGGAAGGTGAAAAGGTGTGGTATTCCACACCCAGTTGGGCGTTATCCACACTGGGGCCAGCCCGTGTGTGGCGGGAGCTAAGGCCTCGGAACAAAAAGTCCCAAATTCTACGACCTGGCTCTGAGCTGAGCAAGTCATCTGGACGTCTCTCAGCCTCAGCTCACTACAAGCGCAGCAAAGGCGATGACCACAAGATAAGCAGCCAGCCGGAGTGGGACAGCACAGGGAGGAGGTGGCCTTCCCAGGTGCCAGTAACAGGGTGGCAGGGCGAAGGTGTGCCCAGCAGCAGGCTGACGGGATAAAGAGGGTGGAGAGGGAAAGATGCTGAGCAGCTTCTGCTTGCTCTAGATTTGACACTGAACAAACACATTAGAGCTAGAGGGCCAGACTGGGAGATGGGGAGGAACCAGGTCTGCACAGGGCAGGAAAGCTGGGTGCCAGGGTGGGGAGCCCACCGAAGAACACAGCAGGGCGGACCTTACCTGCAGGAGCTGCCCAGGGCAAGGGGCAGGAGATCAAGTTAAAACCTTGCCAGTTAGGAAAGACATAGGAAAGCCTGCCTCAACAGACTGAAGAAGAAAAGCAAAGCAAGTCTTGCGGGTAGAAAGCCAGGGTCAGCGATAGCACAGAACGAAGAGTGCTACACAGACAGCCAATCCCATCAACCCTCTGGCCAGAGAAACCCCTGGCTTCCTAGAGGGGAAAGGGTCACTGAGCACTCTGCCCCGCTGTCCAAGTCCAGGGAACCCTGTGAGCACCAGCAGGAGGCTCGGTGGCATGTTTGGAATAGGGCCTCCCACACACAGGCCACCCCCCCGCCGTGGTCCCGCCAGAGGTGGACCCGAACTAATGTCAGCGGCAGTGCGGCCACCCCGTGCACTCAGGCTGACGACCGCGCAGCCTGCCTGGACATGCTGGGGTGGACCGACGGGAGCTAGGTCTCAGGGGCCAAGATTTCAGGATGAATAAGCACAGGACAAGTGCCCACAGCAATGTCCAGGGGAGGCCTGGCGCTGGGCCGTCCCTCGACTCTATAAAACAAGTCCCAGGGCAGGGATCTCGGCAGGGTTGGGGGGAAGAGGGTGACTCGGTGCCAGCGCGCAGCTGGGCCACATCTGGCCACTCTGGCGAGCAAGCGCGGGGCACGGCGGCTCTAGGACCCGGACCCTGCGTCAGGGCGAAGCCTGGTCTCGCGGAAACCCGGGCACCCCGGCAGCATCTTTATCTCAACTTGATAAAGACTATCTATGAAAAAGCAACAGCCAACATCATACTAAAAGGCCAAAAACTAAAATCAGGAACAAGACAAGAATGACCAGTATCACCACTCCCATTCAATATATTTCTGGAAAAATAGCCACCACAATTAGACATGAGAAAGAAATTAAAGCAATAAAGATAGGAAAGGAAGAAGTTTAACTATCATTATTTGCTGAAGATATGATACCTTACATAGAAGACCCAAAACACTCTGCCAAAAGACTTCTAGACTTAATTGACACTTTCCTCAGAGTAGTGGGATACAAGGTCAACACTCAAAAATCATTAGCCTTCTTGAACACAAATAACAGATTCACTGAGAAAGAAATTAGGGAAACAGTTCCTTTCACAGTAGTATTCAACAAAATCAATTATCTAGGAATCAGTCAAATGAAGGAAGCAAAAGACTTCTACATTGAAAACTACAGCACTCTGAACTGGCGCCACCGCCTGCTGGGACCTGGAGCGGACGGGGCGGGGCGGGCGACATCACCCAGCCGGGGTACCGCGAGCTTCAGCCGGCTGGGCCTAGGACAGGGGCAGAGACAGTGCACCCGAAGCAGCTCCAGAAAAGATCAGCACTGGTAACGCCCGGTAGTAGGCTAAGGGGGAGCGATTTTTGCTTCTTACACGGTTGGTTCAGACGTGGTACACAATGAGCTTAAAACGTCAGATGTACACACACAAAGAAATGTACACTAAGATATCACACGAGTGGCAGCTTCTCGGGGGACCGACTGGGAAACGGCCTAAGCGTTTAGGGCGACAGAATGGTGATCTAGGTAAGCACTCATGGGAACCCAGGAGTAAGCACCCTTCAGTTAAGACCTGCCAATTTCTAAATAGTCTGCAAAGCCTGCCTCGGGTCAGCACTCGTTCTGGTCTGCCTGTAGACCCAGGGCCCAGGACTGAACAGACCCGACGCCCCTTCCTCAGGGGACCCTCTCAGGGCTCTGAGTTGAGTCTCTTCCCCCGCTGATTTTCTGCTACTCAGAACCACCGGCTCCGCTTAGAAGAGGACTGTGCCATGCACAGGGATGAAATAAAGGCACCCTGGTGGGGAAGCTGGACTCTGGGCCTTGCGAGGGCATAGAAGATGCCCTGTCTGGGAAAGGAGGCTAAAGGTTTCTTACATAACTCACACCTGCATCCCAAGGAAGCTACCCAGAGAAGTACAGCCACAGAGGACTGTGCACAAAGTCCACAGCACACCCACAACGACCAAGCCCTGGGATGATCCAGTCCCCGCGGAGCAGAGGCGGACAAACCTGTGTCATATATCTTCAGAAGGCAGATCTCTGGACAGAAAATAAAGCAACATTTGCCTGGAGGTAGGAACGGGGCTGACAGCGAGCTTACACGAACATGATTCCAAAACATGGAGTGACGAAAATCTTCTAAAACTGGGT